CAAATTTGGAGAGAGAAGATGAGCCCGCTCGGAGACTCAACTGTAAACTCACACTTTACAGACAGGATGTTGATGGGGTAATTTTAATAACTCGACAACAGTCTTGTCATTTGCGAAAATCCTGCTGTTGTTTCTTTAAAATACCTCAAAATACAAAAATCTTTATCCTCCTTAGATGATGAGGATGATGAAGTGATTAAAAGGAAAAAACATACAGTTTTTCAGGGAAAAAAAATGATCCCAAGCAGACCTTCCTTTGAGTAATGTTTGTACAACGTTTTTTTATGTATAAGTTTGCTATTGATATCAAATGATAAAATGTTTAAGAGAACATTACATGTACTCTGCACTTTTGATAGAGTAAATTTTATGTATGTGGGCTATGGTTAAGCTTGTTGGCATATCATTGTGATCAGTTATCAGAGACTGTTATCATGTGTATTCAGAGTCATCAAAGTTTGAGAGGGCTGTACTCCTCCGTCTGGATAAAGTCAAAGAGAAGCTCCAAAACATCGAAAACATACTAAGAACTAACATGTCTTCCGGACCACCTGAAGAAGGAGACTTTCTGGTAAAGCCCTGTAACACGCAAAGGGAATTGGAAGAATTGTGCAACATGTTAAAGGATTCGGCCTACAGAAAGAGAGTGGTAAGAATTTCAAGATGGTTAGGGTTTGCACTTGGAAATCATTTAAAATTATTAAAAATTAAATAAAAAAATTAATTGTATGTGTTTTCTTTGTCATTCTGTCCCTCTATTGGGGACAGAAACTATTTTGGACCCACTGATTGGTATAATCATATGCTAGATTTAATATTGTCACACTGAGTTGATGATATAGTAAGTTTGCAGCAGAGTAATGACAGCTCTGAAAAAATGTTCTTTTGGAAAAGCATGTGTTTCTGGTGAGGTGGTGTAGTGGGCTAAGCACAGGAATCGTAATCTGAAGGTTGCTTTGAGGAAGTTGCTCATCACAACAGCTATTAATTAATTGATTGATTGATTGATTGTCCTGATTCGATAATTAACTATAAAAAGGACACTCGTAATTCTTTGGTTTGTTACTTTTAAGTTAAGTGAATTTTTAATAGTTTATACTATTTTTGAATAATCTGGAGGTCAGATGTCATCCACAGAAGGAATTAAATGCGATCTGCTCCACTTCCAACAATATTTGGAAATTTTCTTTATGACACTTTACGACTATTTTCTTTGACATGCTTGCTGCATCTCCCCAAAACGTGTTGGGTGCATGCTGCATGCTGCTCTAGGACAGTCAGTACTCAACAATAAT